GAGGAGAGACATAGAGGAAGATCCTCCGTCCAATGATTCACTCCCCAAGTGAGCTCAACGGCCGATGCTATGCCGATCCGAAGCCAGGAGCTTCTTCCAGGTCTCCCACATGGGCGCAGGGTCCCAAAGCTTTGGGCCGTCCTCGACTGCTTTCCGGGGCCACAGGCAGGGAGCTGGAAGGGAAGCGGGGCTGCCGGGGGTAGAACTCGCACCCTTATGGGATCCCGGGCGTGCAAGGCGAGGACCTTAACCACTGCACCATCGTTCCGGGCCCTGTAGAACCCATTTTACATTTTTGAAATGAATGCAAGATTTAAAATAGGGAGAAGTAGAAGTAAAAATATTTTGTATGATATTGGAATAGGTAATGAATCCACATAACACGCGTTACCTGAGTCTATTTAAATGTGCTTTCACCTCCACAAATCTTGCTTAAAGAATGAATGATGATCTACTGACACCTCAGGCACTTCTGTGTGTTCCATTTGCAAGCTCATTCGCTTTATCTTGCCTATCTTCTATCTTGCCTAATGCATTCATATTACATCTTCAGCATTTCACGGTTTTTTTGGCAGCTTAGGAAGTTACAAGGTATTATTTTTTGGCAGCTTACTAGTTACAAGGTATTATGCATGACAACAAGAGATAAAGTACAATAAGAAGAAAACATGAGTGGGCCGATAAGTGAATAGCCCTGTAGATGTAGAATAATAAGAAGAGCAAAAATGTGGAAAAGTTTTCCTTGTCTTTCAGACTTCAAATCCACCATGCTGAATGGATTTTTATAGGGCATATACTTGTTCATGACCTCGGGTGTTAAGAAATTCTGTCATGTTTGAAAACTAGTCCCTCGTGGAGTCTGTATCCCTGTTAATAGCTGAAAGGTCAGTGGAGCTGCTAAACAGTTTGTATTACGGTCAGGGTGGCCGCGAAAACACCACCTGTTGCAAGAAGGCTTGGCAGCTGGGTCAACAGGCTCTGTGGGAATTTATCAACTCAGGGGGGCCACTTGCATAAAACTTTGACTGATGAGTGGGGACTAGACTGGCTCATTGGGAGAAAGTCGCTCCCATTATGTATGACTTTGTTTAGGGTGACAGAGCTGGCTGCTAGCTCCCGGGGACATATGCAAAGGATCAGCAGAACTGATTCCCCCACCCCCCTCAAGGGATTTTTTTTTTTTGTAGGGAAATACAAAGGCACTTTTTAGCATCCAGAGTAGTAAGGAATGAGATGAAGACGTTAAGAAAAAATAAATAAATAAAAAAGGAGCAGAAGTGGGGTCAGGGGTAGGAGTTATAGAAAAAGGCCGGAGGGACGGTTTTTGACATTGGTCACAGAGGAGTTTGAGATACAACATGTCTGTCAAACGACCTCTCAGCCTGGAATTTGCATTGTTAATTTATAGACCTCTTGAGGGATTGGTCTGTGTGTGACTTGATTGGGTAATGATAAGCAATATGCCAGAGCATGGTAAGAATGGGTACATTGTAAGCAAATCAACATAGTCAAGAATAATTTTGTTTTAAAAATCCCTGAAGAAATAAACACTGGAAACATTTCAAGATTTTTTTTTTTTTTGGAAAGTCATTTGGTTTAAGATCATTTGAAGCGACAACAAGAATAAAATAAAGAATCTTTTGTCAATGATGTGAACAAATTTGTGTTCTATAAAAATAAAGCTTGACAATTATATAAAGCCAGAATTCTTAAATTCTCCTTCTTCCCATCCCTACACCCCAGAGCATTTGTTTAATTTTGAGAAGATTTTCTAAACAGCAAGCATTGGAGGCAGGGCTTAGACATAGGGAAACCAAGTCTTAAAAAAGTTCTTTAAAGTTCTAAGAATACTTTTATCACAGTTTTGGAGCCAGGAAAAGTACCAAAGTTAAAGAGATCACCTGAAAATAACTCTGGGATGCATGGAATGTGTAAAGAATTCAATGCTTTAGAATGACTTAATTACCCTTACATCACCTCACAGAAATGAGGAAGGGATAGAATGTTCATCTCTACTCTTGAAATGAGCGCAAGGAACACAGTCTGGTGAAATACTGTTTGCAGGGACCCGACTGGAGAAGATTCAGAGACTACAACCGTCGGACTCCATACGCTGCCTGGGCATCTATTCTAAGGGCAAGATTCAGTGCAATAAACAAGATAGCCCACATCTGGTGTTCGGTGGATCTGGATCTATCTTTTCGGATTACTGGCTGAAGAGATGCCAGGCCAGGGCATGGGACCCATTGAAGCCACAGACTCCTGGGTTAGCTGAGCCCCCGTGGGCGTGGCCCTGACTCGATTCTAAACTCCACTCTGTCCTGAGTCACAGCTGTTTCACCCCTGAGGCTATTCTTCAAGTGTGGTCAATGTCCCAACTTGGAAGCAAAATTCATTCTTGTTTTGTTTCCTTAGGGAATCTGGTTTTCTTTACGTAAGGAGGGGCTGGATAAAACCTTAGGGAAATCTGATTATGCTGTTTTTTGAATTTGCATTATAAATAATATCTATTTTTTTTGTAAAAACAAGTTGTGTCACCATCCTTTTCTCAGGAGGTTGCCTACTGTAAGATTTATAATTTATGTAAATGATTGTGTAATTCATAGCCTTGTCCTTGCATAGTGAGGGTGATACTGAAACTTCATCTGCTTTTGCCAAAATAACTTAAAAGATATCACATATGGTTTCTAAATTTCTTTATGTGATGTGTTGTATGTCTGTGTAAGATAAAGTAGGAAAAAAACCCATTTCATCTGGAAAGAATGTAACTCCTACAACATTTACGATAGAATATAAATATTTTATAATTCAGTGTTTTTCTCTTCTACAGCCACAAGTTAACTGATGTATGAAATTGTTCTGAAAACATTATTTTAGCAAGTCTTGGGGCTTCTTCACCAGACTACAATTAGCCTAGAGTTTAATTTGGGTCAGTTTTTTGCTATAAAAAGAAATCCCTACATGTTGTTTTCTTAGTTGACAAAGTTCTTTCTGCCAGTTCTGCCTCAGAAGTTTTAGAAAAAAGTTTTGCTCTGACACAGACATCCTGAACATTACTATGCTAGTAATTAGCTCACGTTTCCAAGACAATCCCTTTCGCATACTTAAGTGTCTTCTTATGCAGAACTTCTCTAGGGAGAAATGCTATAATAATAAACGCTTGTGTTCAAATCGAAACAGCATGAGGCTCCCAACAAATGTTTATGAAAATATTTGCATTCTTATAGTCAGTTTATTTTGAAATTTATGCCTATGCCCGAGTGCAAGGACAGTGTCTTTGGGACTCTGTTCCTTCCCCCACCTTCTGAAAAGCAAACATAAATCTTAACCTTGGCCCCACACGTGACATAACTCACTAGCAACAGGCACCGTAATGAGAAGTCAGGCCTTCAGGTATGTCAGTTGGAGACCACCCTACTAGAGGAGGCCTCAGGAGCACAAAGCCAAGGTCCCTGATGGCAACGCTTGTAATTAGACACTAATAATGGATTGAAGGTGTAAAATTCACCTCCACTCACCAAGAGACTAAACAATCCAGCTGAATAGTGCAAGGCTTTTGTGAGGCCAGAGAGTTCATTACACTATTACTAGGAACCAGGCGAATGCCTATCAACTTTGACAACATAATGAAAGACCAATCACCATTCTGAAACTAATAATGTTGGATTGCAGTGAAATCCCTTTATATCATTATTAGGATGCTGCTATTGTATGAATTAACATCAGTTTAATTGTTTACTTTTAACTCTGCCAACTTGAACCACCTCCTGGGTGTCTGATTTTCCTTCTCATTCATTTCCTTGCTTTTTTTTTCAAGGAAGACATCAATTTTACACTCAAATAGGAAAAAATAAAAAAACCCTGTAGTGGATGCTGGGAACTTCTCTTCTTGTGATAGGAAATATGTGCTCTTAGAAAGAACACCATCAGCAAATGAAGTATGAGAAGTGATTCCACCAAGAGACCGTTTTTTAGAATGGATTACTCTCCTTTTCATCCTGCGGTGACCAATGTCAACCTATATTTGCCTCAGTAAAGTGTTTTGAGGTATAGAAAAGGGAAAGGAATTTCCATTTAATTGTGCCTTTTTCTGGGGACAAAATGCATGATTTACAACTTAAAAGTAACTTTTAAGAAATTGAGCCAAATCAATGTCTTTAGTACATTCATCACTAGGATTTATGCAAGATTAGAGTAAGTTAATGTACAAGGAATCTGAAACACGCTGCACGGTGTGGCGAGGGTCACGCAGACAAGGACACAAAGCTGTGTCTGTGAGACAGTACGTTTTGCTCTAGTTAGGTGTTTCTAAGCTTATGGCTAGGTCTAGTTGATGATAATTCAGATTTCATTCCTGAAATTAACAAGAGATTATTTACAATCTAAAATGATTGGAAAGCTGTGTGTGAATGAGAAGGTACGGTGTAGGGATTACTAGACTCCTTAAAGGACTGGAGCATTCCAACCCTGCTCTTGCTGAAGTGCATAACAACACACTTCTTCAGTTTTCCTGATTTAGTCACAGCAGTCTGCATGAGAGCCAATGCACATTTGGGTGGTTTTGAAATGATGCTCCCACGTTGAACTGCCAAAATCATTTAGCCTGATTACTTAACCAAAATCATACTAAGCAGCTATAAATGTCCACCGGTAAGTTTCCTGTTTTCTCAAAAATAAAGAGAGTTGATTGCTTCCAACCCCCAAGCCTAGTGCACTGCCTGGCACATGAGGGCTCTCCTGTAGCCTGTGTCTGATACCACGGTGACAACACTGCTCTGGGGGGAAATGCGAATGAGCACTAGAGTCCTGGGTGATGAAGTCTGGTCCCCCAAGGCTGAAGTGGAACAGCCTTCTCCACCCAGACCTGGGTGCATGGGGAAAGCAGAAGGGGTCCTCTAGGCTGATGCCAGTAGCAGTTACCCCGTCACTGATCAGAATAAATGAAAATTTACCTTGCAGAAGAACAGTAACTGACTGAAAGGAATCAAAAGAAAGCTCACCTTTTGGGGTCTACAATCTTGTAGAGTTTTCCATTGTGAGTCTGGGTCATGCTTTTACTGCTTGATAAAATATAGACTTCTCCTGTTGAAGAAAGAATCCGAAGTTAAGTCACAGCTTCACAAAGCCTTCCTTTCTAATGTCCTAGCAGTTATTACCTGAAGGTGCTTCAAAAAGTTCATGCAAAAATAGGACTGGAAGATAAATTAATCTTGGGGATTATTCTATCCAGCCACTGCACTGGCAATAAGTTAATCATGGTAGAAAAAGATTTTGAAAACCATGCATATGAAGGATCTTCAAAAATTCAGAGAAAATATGTATAAGGAAAAAACAACTCTATGCATGCATTTCAAAGGTTTTTGTGTCCAAATAAACTTCTCTTCTTAGTTTTTATTTTTTTCACAAATTTAAAAAGTGCCCTCCAAGCAGTGTCATCTCTGTAACTTTGTCTCTATAGGTCTGTCTCTCTGTCCGTGCTCAGGAAAATCACTTGCCCGGAGATACTGACAGATTACCACATCAATCATCATGGTGCGAATTCCAATCACCACTGTCACCTCCCACTACTATGGCAGCGGGGGCAGATAGCACGCCTCACTTGGATAGTGTCTGAGCTCTCGTGCCTGCGCCTTGTACTTGCTCTCAACACACCAAAGCGATCCACAACAACACATCACATTCCCATGTTTCAACACACTCTAGTGTCACTCAGAGCCAAAGCAAGTCTTGACCCAATGGGCTCTTCTGATGCTGCTGGGACCACACGGGTAACCTCTTCCTCGCTTTACTCCTCTCCATCCTTAAAGGATTCCACTGGATAACAGAAGCACATTCTAGTTCCAGGTATGGGTTGTCCCCATCAGTTTCACTTGTTTCTTTCCTATAAGTTTGTGATTATATATCGTCATTCCTGATCACAATATTTTAAGAAGACTTTCCTCAATACCCAAATTCTTTTTTCCTGCCAGATTTTTCTTTCAAGCATCTATTACCAATTGACCCACAGCATATTTTGATTTTAAATAAACTTTGAAAAAAAAAACAAACCTTTGTTTGTTTGTTTAGAAAGTCAGATATACAGAGAGGAGGAGAGACAGAAAGAAAGATCTTCCTTCCACTGATTCACTCCCCAAGAGGCTGCAACAGCCAGAGCTGGGTGGACCCGAAGCCAGAAGCCAAGAGATTCTTCCAGGTCTCCCACACGGGTGCTGGGTCCTAAGGCTTTGGGCCTTCCTCGACTGCTTTCCCAGGCCACAAGCAGGGAGCTGGTTGGCCATGTGGGATCCTGGTGCTTGCAAGGCGAGGACTTTAGCCGTTAGGTTATTGTTCTGGGGCCCAATCTTTGTTTTTATTGTCTTCCTCGTTTACAGTGCAAGTTTCATGACATCAGTTTAGATATTTCGTCTTGTTTTCTGGTGCTGTATTTCTAATAGCCACACAGAGCTTGGCACTGAGTAGCTAGCTGGTCATTAAAATACATTTGTAAAATACATGTGCATGGTTTGAGTTGGCCTCTATGCAATCTAGTTTTCTGCTAATGTGCCTGGAGGGTAGCAATCATGGCTAAGTACTTTGATTCCTGCCACCCATATAGGTTAGAGTCCCTGGCTCCTGGCCTTGATCTGGTTCAGTCCTAGCTACTGAAGGTTTCTGAAAAGTACCACAGTAGACAGAAGACCTTTCTGTCATTTGGTTTTCAAATAAATCAACATGTGTGTATATACATATGTGTATATATGTATATATAATGTGTTTAAAGATGCATTAAAATAAATATTGGGTGAGAAGAAAAAAGAGGGGGAAAGGAGAGAGAAAGAGGGTTAACTCCATAATTTTTGGTGCTAGGCTGTTTTTATGATGATGAGCTATAGCAGACGGGCCATCTGCTCAGGAGATTTCACCATTGTTTATTACCACCACTGCCATATAATTTATATACACAGAATGAATCACATGAATAGGGAATCAGAAACTGTTATGTATGATTATGTGTTTATATGGCTTTAAAGTGTATATTTGTTTCTTACTTAGGAAAGAGTCCTTGATTTAGTCTGTTTCTCTATTCCATTCTATTATTATGCATTAAGCACACTCAACTACTTTTCTACTTCTGCAAAGGTTGTTAAAAAAGAGGTTTATGCCCTGAAACATCAACATCATAGGAAAAATAAATATGAAGTTAAAAACAGAGGAATGTAAACAAAAGTATTACAATTTATTTTGTCAAGTACCTCATAGGGTTTAATCTCATTGAATTTTATAATACAGTCACTCTAATTTTGTAGTTAAAATACACACACACGCTAAACTCTCAAGACTTCTGTTTCAAGGGGTACAAAATGTAGTTATTCTCTTTTTTTATCCTCAATTAAATCCAAAAATTGTCACTAAAATATCATTCAGCAACAGTCTATTTTAATCAGGAGGTATATACAGAGAAGTAACTTTTGGAGAATCAAAGGTACCTATGCTTTATTTTTTGACTCAGTTTTCAATAGAACAAATCTTACACGTATACAGCCATCGGAGATGTTTTGCCCAGCAGTGGTGATGTTGGTAATGATGACTGACGATGAGACATTTGCAGTGCGGCCTGGGAATATCAAAAAGCCACCCACACATCTAAACATGTGTCTCAAACTCTGTGGCAATCTAGTTCTCTGTAAAATCAGAATCTGCCAGTGAAGTTGAAGCCACCTAACAGGATGTGAGGGACAAAAGGTATTTCTCTGTTTCCTTTGAGAAGAGTAGGAGAGTATCACGGAAGTTCAATATGAAATGTTGGCACAACAGGATGGAGTTTCTTTGCGGAGTTACACAAGTGGATTCAAAAGTTCATGGAAAATGGAACACTTATTTGGTGTAAAAAAAAACTTGAAACCCAGGTGTATCTTTTTCATAATCCATATTTTCCAAGAACTTCCGAGGCTCCCTCAGATTCTGTGCCACTGCTGTATGTCTTATGAGGTTAAAGAGTCTGGGTCTGAGAAAGTGAAAGGCTTGGAACTGTTTTGATGAGCTCTTCCTTTCATATAAGAAAACCAAATCTGAACTTTTAAGGACATGTTCTGATTTGCACAGGAAACATACTCTGCTTCCTTTATTCCTAGAAAATCCTCTCAAAGGCTAAAGGAGCATAATAGACATGGCTTGCTTCAGCATTGTTCAACGAAGATAGTCTCTATAAAAGTAATGTTTATTCCTGTAATTTTAAATGTTACAGCACAAAATATTCACTCAGATGGATCACAATCCAGTTTCAATTTTCTCTTTGGTTGTTACGCTGCATTCATTTGGCTGAACATGCCAAAAAATTACTATTTGTTATTTCATAGGTCTTCAATAAGAAGATAATTTCTATTCCATTGTAAAGATCTATAACTCAGATTGTTTCATATCCCAGAGGGGGGAAAAAGTAAATAAAGGATGAATTTCAGCTTCCAACAAAATTTTTATTTATTCGAAGAGATGTGGATAAGACGAAAGGGTTTCAGAATGAGATTAAGAAGAAATTATTGTGATGCATAATAAAAAATATCAGTACTCATTTAAAAATTCTCCAAGAATCAAAATTTCGAGGCTAGTGCAGTCAAGCCTACACCTTCGGTTTGGCATCCCATAGAGGTGCTGGTTTAAGTCCCAACTGTTCCACCTCAGATCCAGCTCCCTGCTAATGTACCTGAGAAGGTAGTGGAAGATAGCTCAAGTCCTTTGGCCCTGCACCCACTGGGGGACTCTGAAGAAGCTCCTGGCTTTGGATCAGCCCAGCTCTGGCCTTTTTGACCATTTAGGGAGTGAACCAGCAGATGGAAGATTTTTTTCTTTCTTTCTTTCCCTCTAAATCTGTTTTGTGAATAAAAATTTTTAAAAATCGTCAACAAATTGAAAAATTCTCATTTATTCTTACTTGCTGTGTTTCTGTTTTTAATAATTTTAGGAATCTAGGAAAGGAGTAAGACATAAAGACACCCCAGGGAAAGAATATGTTCTATGTTTCACACCTCTGTTAGGTTGTGTGTGCTTCAGGTGGCATTTCCAACCAATGTTATTCTTCAACACAGAACAAAGCCTCTTGCACAAGGGAGCAGGGATAGAACTGAACAGGAATGATATGTACCATACCTAGCTCATCTTCTCCGAATCCAAGGATGTGACCTGAAAAGTAGCCCCTACAGGAACCACCAGTCCCAACACAGAGCGGTTTCTCTTGCCATTGCTTGGTCACGGGACTTTGCTGGAGAGTTAAGAAATTCCTACAACAAAAGCATAATCAGAAACTCACAATGAAAGCAAGCTTTTTTTTGTTTCAAAGAATAAAATGTTTTAACATAAAATTTATAATAAATGATTGATTTGTCACAGATCTGACTTCTAAAAGGGATGGTCATATAGCTGGTAATGAGTGAGTACTGTGAAATTCCCACATGCAGAGAAAGCAGCTAAAAAGAGCATTCCATTTGGAAGGGGCATTCAAACTAGCTGAGTATGAGAAAAGTCCTCCCTCTTATATCCCCTCCATGTCTAGAATTTCCACTTGGCCATTAATCAGAGAGAGGGACAGAGGAGGAGCACGAGGTAAGCATATTTTGCTTTCTTTGTAGCAACCAAGTGTATCAGCTGTCATATGCCTGAAATGCCAGCAAGTTGGGAAAAAATGCTTCACATGTTTTTTTTTAATAAAAATCATTATTATTATTTTATTTAAAAGTCAGATACACAGAGAGGAGGAGAGACAGAAAGAAAGATCTTTCCTCTGCTGATTCATTCACTCCCCAAGTGGCTGCAACAGCCAGAGCTGGGTGGACCCGAACCCAGAAGCCAGGAGCCTCTTCTAGGTCTCCCACATGGGTGCAGGGTTCCAAGGCTTTGGGCCGTCCTCAACTGCTTTCCCAGGCCACAAGCAAGGAGTTGGATAGGAAGCAGGGCTGCTGGGATTAGAACTGGAGCCCATGTGGGATCCCGGTGCGTTCAAAGCAAGGATTTTAATCACTAGGCTATTGTATCGGTTCCAAAAAATTTATGCTTCATCTGATTTTGCAGCATTCTTATCCTATAAAGCGCATTATATTCTGTTGTTCCAAGTCCTGAAAATTAGGCCAAAAATAAAAATCTCAGCATTCTCAAAAATGTTTTAAAAATGTTTTATGTAACTCACATAAAGCAACAGTTTTCCAAGGATTCAATGTCAAGGTAAAATCATGTAGAAGATGAAGGTAAGAGCCTAAAGACCTAAAGTTTACTGGAAGTCTTTGTTGCCCTTACAAATCATTTTGTGAACTCAATCAAGCCTGTTAACAAAGTTAGAGCTCTTCGAAATCAACCCCTCACAAAAGTGGATCTAATATTAACTCATAATATTTATGTGTGTTTTTGGTCTGAAGAGAGACAAATTATTTACATATTTTCTGACAATAAATATGTCATTTGGTGGATCAAGCTGTGGTATCAGGAAACCTTACCCATTACGGTCTCCAAACACATAGCTTCCATATAGTCTTTCGGACTGGCAGCCTCTGTACACAAATCCCCCAACCAAAGGACCATTACTGAATGGCTTGAATTCTAGAAGGGATGGCTCACTTTCTGGAAAGAAACATAGAATTAGAGAAATGAAACTATTTTTATTGGCCCAACAACAGACTCCAATAGAGCAAGCAAAAATTATTATGAATTTAACTCTGAAATGTGTTCCATGATGTAAGAGATGGGTCTTAGCCACTGACATCTAGTGACAATCGTTAGTCTTTGGTGCAATAGTATCAAGCTTAAATGTCCTTGAATGGACATCCGGATACAGATTAAACACATGAGAACCGGGGCTGCTACTGTGGCTTGGCATGTTAAACTTCAACCTCACATACAGACTCAGTTGCCCTACTTCTGATCCAGCTCCCTGCAAATGTTGCCTGAAAAAGCAGTGGAGGATGACCCATTTGCTTGGGCCCCTGTGTACACACAGGAGACCCAGAAGTTTCTGGTTCCTGGCTTCTGGAAGTTCCTGCCCAGCCCTGGCTATTGCAGCCATTTGTGAAGTTAACAAGCAAATGGAAGATCCCTCTCAAATCCTTCTCTCTGTAACTATGCCTTCCAAATTAAAAAATGCATATATCTAAAGCAATATGAAAAAGAAAGAAATGATATCTGCTCTGCAAATCTTTGCTATTATTATTATTATTATTCTTTTATAGTAGTCAAGATACCAAGTTTTCAATGAAATTAGAGATTAGAGTCTGGATATTCTAGGAAGTTGGAATTTAGATATTTTGCAAATCAATGTATTTATACCATAACAATTAAAAAATTAGTTTTAAAATATTTATAGACCAAGCCAGACTTTTATCAAATTATATAAAATGTTTAAAAGCTAACACTTTAATGAAAATGAAAGCACAGCACATACAGTCTTTAAAAGCATATTTTTTGTGTATGTAAGAAAACCGTCACTTCATCAAATGATATAGCCCTTTAAACTCTTTGAATTGTTTTGTTCATAGTGGTATGTGTTTCACAATGTATTCTATCACTTCCTTTTGGATATCATGTGTATGGTCACCTCAATCTTCTCACGTGTGCCATTAAAGACTTGAATATAATTCCAACAGAAATGCTCTACAGCTAATTGTGAATTAATCTGAAGTGTACTTTTACATCTTTCATACCACGTACATCACTATCAACAGGCAGTGTTTTATGCAAAATCTCACGAGAAAACATATGCACTGTAAAGTGCTCTGCCCCTCCTTTGTGACTATGGTGATTTCTACATTACAAAAAGTAGAAAAGATGAAACATCTTAAACAGCCAGCCCTTTGAGATGCAACAGGGCTGGAACTCTGAAGCGAAGCTGCTCAGGCCCCAGTGGAAGCCCTGCCACAACATGCTTCTGCGCCTCACTTTCCTCATCTGTACGCTGTGGCTGGGGCCAGCACCCATTACATGAACTGCTCCAGAAAGGAAATGCAGAGTGTATGGACTGCTTCTACGAGGCCTGGCTCGTCATGAGAACTGTGGGCATGATTTAAAATTCACAGAAGTAGGACCGTTAACACTGTAACTGGTTTTGGCTGGACTATAGAACTCAGTTGAATCTACAGATATGGTCAAAATTCCATTGAGCTGGTGGTTTATTACATTTTTTTTTCAAACCACATTTTTCTTTGGTTTGGCTTTTATGACACATTACCCCCCCACACACATAAATACCTGAAAAAAAAAATAAAGTAAAATAACTGAATACCACATGAACTAACACAGCTGCTTCATTCCTGGTGCTAAATAAATATCTGGATTGAATGAGCAAATAGAAGCAGCAATCAACTTAATAATCTTAATCTAGTGTGTTCCCTCGATCATAATAATATTTGAAATATTGCTTCCTTCAAAAGGAATACATTCTAAAATGTTAAAAAATACTGAGTGTTTTACACTTAATTATTATCCAACTTTCCACATGTGCTCTCTAAATATTCGGGTAATCATGTTATTAAAAATAATGTTTAAATCTTCCATTCCCACAACATGCTCTTACAGGTCGATGACTTTGTTTTCTTTAAAATAAATCGCTTTTTAGAAAATTACATTCTTATTTAAAGCACTTGTAATTTTCCTAATTGCTGAGACTGGTATTGAGAAATTTCTTACCTTTACCACTCGTTTTTCCTCTTTATATAAGGTGTTAGGACAAGTTACCCCTTATTATGTTAAAAAACAGAACAGAACAAAACAAAACAAAACAGAAGCTATTCCTCCTGATTCTGACCTACCAAGAATCACTGAGTCTGAGGGAGGTAATTAACCCAATGGGACCCTTAGGGCTTGTAGGGGTCACTGGATCCTGAAAGAATGAGCCATTTACTCCATCACCACCTGGGCCAGTGTTTTCTTGCTTCCAAAATATTCCTTTTGGAAGAAATCATATTCTCTTCAATTACAAACTAAAACAAAACCCAAAGGTACAGCAAAATCGGCAAATGAAGCTTACCATAATCTTTCCCCTTGATTATCTGTAGGATTCTGGCTGAAGATCTGTTTTTGCCGTTGGAGTCTGTACAGAGGATGGTTAAGTTGATGTTGATGTCAGTGTGATGTCGATCCACGGCACATCTGCACAGGAGAGGGGGAGGACACCCATTAGTTTCCACAGAGGTATCTTCCAGTCTAAGGCTGGAGATTCCCGACAGAGGAAGCTACCCTCTGTGGGCTGGCAGGGATCCTCTGGGCAATTTAGTTTGGATTTTCCAGAAACCACTGAAGGAAACATCCTGATGTATTTGTTGACTCTGCTGAAGCTTAATGCTCTCTGGAGTGTGTTTCTTAGTTTCTCTTAGTGTCTCCCCCTGGTATGAATAGGCACTCTGTCCTAAGATATTTACTGGTGTGTTGTCAAGGAATTACCACCTATATGGCACATTGGTTAAGTATTATAAGTAGAATCAGTGTTTCTGTTGAGCAGCATCTGCATGTGTTAGACTCGTTGTAGTATTGGTTTTGTGTTTCTTACATCAGTTGCTACTTTCTAAAGCCTAAATTGCTCCAACAAAGAAAAACATGTGCTTCCACAGGGGGTAGCGGCAAAGCTGATCCCCTTAACCTTTGGGGCCCTTTAGACTGGCTCTGTCTAAATATTTTCCACCTCTAACCTGGAAACTAGACTTTCTCTGTGACTTAATACTGCTGACTGTAAGGTCCATGAGGGCAGGGCCCATTTCCAAGTATATCTCTGCATTCTTATAATGTAGGAAAAAACCCCATAATAATAATAATCATTCAGTATTTGTTGAATATTTAAGGCAGTGAGGAACTAGGCATTGAGGTTTGGAATAGGGAATTGATTGAGCTGAACCAGTAAATTTATAAAAATTATTCATTTGAGAGAGATTGACAGAGTTCCATCTGCTGATATACTGCTCAGATGACCACACTGCTTGAGCACTGAGAGCTGAAGCTTCAATCCAGGGCTCCCACAAGGATTGTAGGAGTCCAACATTTTGGGCAGTCACCATTGCCTATCAGGGTCTACATCGACAAGAAGTTTTAGGCAGGAGCCTGAAACAGTTCTAAATCCACATACTGCAACATGGGCTCTGAGAGTCTGATACAGTAGCTTAATTGCTAGGCCAAACCCCTGCTCTCATATAGGTTAATTTTTAAGAAAAGGTAGAAAGCATGCTTACATTATCTTTAGGTTTCTCAGCCTTGGACATGTTGATGTCTTAAGCTAGATAACTCTTTTGGAGGGGACGACCATGGGAATTTAAGATATTAGTAGCTGAGCTGGTCCCTACCCAAGAGGTGATAGTAACATTACTTCCCCATCCCCACTCTGCTCCGTTGGAAAAACCAAAAATATTTTTTGACTTTGCCAAACTTCCTCGGGGGGCAGATTCATTGCATAGCAAATCACTGTTTAAGGCTGAAAAAAAAAATTTAATTACTTGAAAACAAAATAAAGCCATTGGGGCTATTAAAGAAATCAATTAAATAAAGAAATTAAGTACATTAAGAAATAAGAGAGTAGGTGCTGAATCTCAAGAGCCCCAAGAATCATGTAGCAACTCTGAAAACAAAACAAGACATTGTTAGTTCCAGATGATTTTATTTGTCATAGGAAAACAATTAGCCTGACCTGTCAAAGATGGGTTCCTGGTTCTGTAGCAACACTCCCTCCACAGTGCTCTTTCAGTGATTCACATTTGGCAATGCCTGGCAGGAATGGGACACACTCAACAGCCACTTAAGGTGGGACTGAATCTACAGAAGGTGGGAGAACAATCTTACTTTCCTTTTGAATATGGAGACTACTATGACAAAGAAAAGTTTGACTTGTTTCCATTAAAAAACAACTCTAGGGCTCTCAGGGGTGGGCTGGCTGGGGCTATGAGCCCTGGTCCACCAGGAGCTATCTGGCCCTTCTCTGCATGAGACACTGTGATGGCAGGAAGATGTCACTAGCCACTTGTCTGAATCCATGGAAGGTACAACACCAACAATAATGGTTATGTAAGCTGTGGACTCCAAGGGGTTGTGATGTGTCAGTGTTGGGTTATAACAAGTGTGCTATTCCACAGGGGCAACGCTGTGGGAGAGGCTTTGCATGTGTGAGTAGAGGGACTATGTCATGAAGGTCTGTACCATCTGTTGAATCAAAACAATATTTGAAAGGCAGGGTTAGAGAAGGAGAGAAAGAGAGAGAATCTTCCATCACTAGTTCATTCCCCATATGGTCACAACAACTGGGGCTAGAGCTGAGCCAGGCTGAAGGCAGGACTTAGAAATTCCATCCCTGGGTTGTCAGGGACAGAAGCAGCAGAACTGCTGCTTTCCAGGCACAACAGCAGGGAGCTAGCTGGATCAGAAGTAGAGCCCTCCTATGGGATTCTGGCAGCAGCTTAACGCACTATGCCACAATGGCAGCCCCCATTCTGCCAAATTTTGTAGCGAACCTATAGCTGATCTAAAAAATCGTCTATCAACAAAAGATACCAGGGAACTAGTGCAAGCTACCCCTCAGAGCACTGCTGAGGAGCTTTGAGGGGATAAGTACATACTTAGTTCAGAACCATGCAGCCAGGTGCTTAATAACAGTGAACCAACACAGGCTATAGCTTCCTCTCTGCTTTATTAAATCTTCTCCTTAAAACACTCTGGGAAGGTGGCAGAATATAAATACTGATTTTTCCTTCAGCCCTCTGCCTCCAGCGGAGGTTAGGACTGACTGGGCATCTTGCCACAAAGCAGAGCTGTGAGGCACCACGGCCCGTGTTTCTGGACTGAGGTTTAGGAGCCCCAGGAAGACGGCGAGAAGGCTCCCGTGGGATTGTGGTGACTCAGGCTGCTCGACTTCAAAGTGCTGCTCTGTGGTGATATCTGTGAGTTCTGAGCTATAGGAATGGAATGTGACAGTTTCCTCCACATCCTGAACCCACCTTAAGTATTCCCTGTCGCGCAGATTTTAAGATCTGCTGAGATGCCAAAAAGGAAATGAACTGTAGACTTCGGCTTTGATGGAGGGGAGATGAAGGGCATGAGGGATTATAAAAATAAAAAGTTTGAGAAATATTCACCTTACACATAGTGAACACTCAATAAACATTAAATAGCAATAATAACTTAGCCAGTAAATGAATGAATGTGGCCAGATACTCCTTAGTAGGAATAACCGACCACAGACTGGATGAGGCTTTCATCGTGCAGCTTGGAGAATATACTTCACAGAATTTTTAAAGTGTGCCCCAGATTTCTCACTCTACTTATTTCTTAGTTTTCCTTTCTTCCTGGTTCATTTTAATACAGCAAGCAATCATTAGACGGTCTTTTGGCATAATATTTTTGAAGTACAAATAATGTTAACATTCAGCTCAGTGCCATCAAACTGAGCATCATTATCCTGTGTTCAATGAAGCTGTGATAACAATTTTAATTTATTTAAAACCCATGAGATATGAGGCACTAATTATTCTGCTTCACGCACAGAATTTTATTTCACCAGTATAGCATCCTTGCAGGGCAGTCATTAGCAACCCCCACCCCCCTCCATCTAGGATTTGAATGTGTCCCCCTAAATTCACATACTGGAAGCCTGATATACAGGACAATAGTGTTAAGAGGGGCACATTTGGGACCAGCATGGTGTAGCAACAGGCTAATCCTCCCCCCTGTGGCATCAGTATCCCATAAGGGTGGCAGCTCATATCCTGCTGTCCCATTTTCAGTGCAGCTCCTTGTTTACGGCCTGGGAAAGCAGCACAGGCTGGTCTAAGACCTCAGGTCCCTGTGCCCATGCAGGAGACTTGGAGGAGGCTCCCGTTCCTGGCTTTAGATTGGCCCTGCTTTGGCCATCACAGACGTTTGGAGAGTGAACCAGTGGTGATATCACCTTCGGCCTCTGCCTCCAGTGGAGGTTAGGACTGACTGGGCATCTTGCCACAAAGCAGGGGCTGCAAGGTTTCTAGACTGTTTCTAGACTGTGTTTCTAGACTGAGGTTTAGGAGCCCCAGGAAGACGGCGAGAAGGCTCCTGTGGGATTGTGGTGACTCACCTCTATCTTTCCTTCTCTCTCTGTAAAAGTCTGCCTGTCATATATATATACATGTATATACATATGTATATATATATAAAGAGAACTGTTTAAGAGTTGATTAAGTCAGGAGTACTCTGCTATCCTGAATGGATTAATGTTGCTACTTCCAGACTAGGTTCCTGATCAAAGGATGGGTTGGACCCTCATCTCTCCCCTCTCTTGCCCTTTCTTGCCTTCTCACCTTCTGCCCTGAGACAAGGCCCTAACCAGAGGCTGCACCATCCCCTAGGACACGCCTGGCTCCAGAATAATGTGCTAAGTAAACTTCTACTGTGCATGAATTCTCTGGTCTGTGATATTTTGATATAGTGGTGCAAAAATGACTAAGACAATGAATAAATTAAATTGGAGAGGGGCTTAAGGGAATACATGCAAAGGTTTATTGTCTCAGAATGATTCAGATTGAGGTTTCAGTCATTGACCCTCACCCACCAGTATCTAATAATAAAGATTTCAGTGGTCTCAGGGACCTCCTCTCTAGGAATGTGACCTGCTGGAAGACATTTTCACAATCTGCTTCACACATCAAAAGAAGGAGACGTTCTCATTTGGGTAGTGACCTGGTATGATCTTAGAGGCACAACATGGAGACAACCCTTCAGTGGACTGTGACCTGACAGCCTCTTTCCTTTCCAAGTTCTGGAACCCCAGCCTGGCTTTAGTATAGGGGAAAAGATGCACGGGTGTTCTTACCTGCCTGGGTCATGCAGCCCATGGGCAAAGACCTCAGGGGGCTGGTTGGTACTGTTGAAGTGCGGGTTACTCCTTGGTATGGCGTAAGGCACGTTGCACATGTCTGTGTCCACGTCCAGCCTCAGCACCGAGCCTGTGAAATCACTGAGAGATTGGAGGACAGTTGTTAAGTGTTTCATGTTCCAGCTGTATACTGTACCTAAGCTAAATGTGCAGAGGTTTCTCTCTGGATTAAAGAAGCATCCCTTATTTGACACAAAATTGAAACCAAATTGTTTATCATGTGGAATGAAACCAGGGATAGCTGATTCTCCATGAAGTTAGATGATGGCCTGTGGTCTAAGTAGTACCCTGCTCTTTGCATTTGAATTCCTCTTTTTTTTTTTTTTGGCCATGTCTCCCGTGCAGACATGCTGAGAGGTAGCATGAACAGGCTAACCTGCACCTGTAGTCTCAGTACTGGGCACAGCAGAGGCAGCCCCTACAGCATAGAACCATACAACCATATCTCATTTCAGGAGAAAAGAAAACATCACACCAGCATATTTGTGAATTATTTCTCATTGTATGGATGCACACAAATAACCAAAGTTACATATCTAACCAAGATGATGCCATTCCATGATGGCTCTCAAATGTTTGGCTCTGATCCTTTTTCCTGGCACTTGGCCCTTTTCTCCATGCAGAGAAACCTGCCTGCTGTCAGCCTCTTTACCTTAGTCCATCCATTTCTTCCATGTCATCCAATGTGATCATTCCATCACCCAGGATGATGTACAGAAATCCATCAGGGCCAAAGAGCAGTTGTCCTCCCAGATGCTTTCTGTGGAGTTCCGCAACTTCCAGAAATACTCGGGCTGTTCTTAAGTCAACTTGATGGGGATTTTTTCTGTATCACAGGGAGGAAGCAAAATCAACATATGAGGTTTCCAGCATCATATGCAGGACACAAACAGGGAAGCAAACATCAAACATCTGGCAGATAATTCAGGAAACATACAATAGAGATGGGGCTACTAAAAATGACAGACAATTGACATGGTCTGCTAAGTCATGGAAGTAACCTTTAAGTTAAAAGACTACAGAAAGTGCCAGAGCTGTCGTTTTTCTCAATTTCTGCTAAAGACACACATGGATTTTAAGTTAGATGGAGATTATGGCTTAATGATGTCTTAGAAGCTAATCATTTGTAACCCTGAAGCAAAAAGTTTATGAGGCAATGATGAGAAAATAAGATTAAAGAAGGTATAAGCTTCAGTGCATCTCGGTGATACCTGGATACTGTGTATTCCACAACTCTAAGAATGTGGTCGTGAGGCCCAATAGCCCATCGTTCTTGGTTGGTGGTATAAGACACATACAGCTTTCCATTTTTCTTGTAATTGGGATGGAATGCGAGGCTTAGCAGTCCTCTTTCATCTCCTCCCTGCAGTCAAATGAAAAACACAAAGAATAGTGAAGTTAATTATGTTCTTTATTGTGTTTCAACTGGAACCCCGAAAGAGTCTCTGTCTTTCTTCTGGATAATCTTTGCTCAACCCCTTTTCTTTTCTCCCTTGCCTACTGCACAAAAAAGGATTATAAAACATTTCACTTTGTGGAACTCTGTAAGGGTTAGAACAAGACAATTGTCTTGTGTGGCTATCTATGCGCAAGAGTCTTACACCACTTTTGTCAAGTGATTTGTGTATATAATCTTGGGACACTAGGAAGACAAGTTTAAGTGCTGGGAGGAATTCTTTCCTGGGTTACTAGGTTGCTTGTAGTTCAAGAGAGACAAATAAAAAAGTTCATAATCAACAGTCACTTTTAATCCAAGTCTCCGAAACCTAAAACACAGTGTGGGCTGCCAGCTCCCACTGTCTTGGCAATATGTTTAGAAAACAGTTAAATTGCTTGTGTAATATGTAAACCTTTGTTTTACCCCGGAGGCATCTACTTCAGTTGTCACAACCATGGTGGTCTGTTCATCATTGCGAGGTAACAGGCAGCCTTGGCCTATCTGTATTGAAATGAGGAATTTTCACGCCCCCCTTCCCTGCATAGGGTTTGTTCTTTACAGAGGACGATGATGCGAGAGGGGAGCTCCAGGTCAAGGCTGCAGTAGAGGTGGGAGAAGCGCTAGAGGGGAAAGCGGACATTAGGAAATAAGAGAAAAATCCCAAACAACTTTCTTTTGTTATTATATGAATGTCAAGGATTGTATACATTAGACATGCCAAATGCTATAACAATTAAAACATCATCATGTTCTTAAATAGAAAGGCATTTTATCTTTATTTTCTGCTAATTCAGTCTGTTGAAATTTAATATGGTCTCAGTATGTTTTATCCCACAAGTAGGCTTGGAATTTCTAGCAGGAAATCAAAGTATGTAAAATTATCCAGATGAGACTGAAAAATTTGCATTGTAGCAAGCCAGGGAATACTTTCTCTGAAGTCTGACAGGTTACCCGCAGTGGTGAAAAACATGACACAGACAGTGAATGCTACAAGTACCCGTAACATTATTTTCTTTATTCTGTTCAATATCACCACCTCTGTGAAGGCAAAAAGCTATGAGAAAAGGAGTCCTTCTGGCGTGTTAGAGGAGGATGGAAAAAAAAACAAGCTTAACACTGCCACTTCTTAACAATGTTGCACAAAATCATGATTAGTAATGGAAGAAATCATGTTTTTATTCCACAAAATAGCTTGTGTTACTAGCAGAGAACTGTTTGCAGTTCGTATTCCACATGGATTTGAGATTTACAAGTTTTAGGCATAGAAGTTCACTTTTAATAAACATTGTTTGATTTGTTTCCTGGCTTAAACTAAATTGCTTTTAGACATATACCATCCAATGTGGCAACATCCAAACTTCGAGAGTGTGTAAATAATTAAGTAGTTGCAGATAGCCCAGATATTTCATGAATTATTACTCCGATGTCAAAAAGTCAACCTTTCTGCACATTACAATCTGCTTAATTTTAATTTTAGTTGTAAGGATGAGCCTCCAATGACTATGATTTATGAATGAGCCTTTGTATTTTGGATTATCTTGTTATGATTGCTTTAGTATTGGCTGGCCGTTACTGTTTTTCTTCTATCTTCATTAAGTAACTATCTCTTGGCTCTCTTGTACAATGTTGGAAGCTTGCATGTGTAACTAAGATTTGATTGTGGAAGCAACACTGCACATTGAAAGCTCTTTGATGAATTGTACAAGGAGGCCAGGAGTGGGATTTAGTTGGCAATTAATTTCTCTCGTGAATATATTTCCCTCTAAAGCTGTGAGTGCAGGTTAAGTACTACATGCCCACTTCACAAGTGTTTGTGTTCCATCCTAAGAAGCTATTGTTGAACATAATTCTTAGGAGTTTTCAATCAGATCATCTGAAATACAATTTGAATTGGATAGCAACATGGTTTAAAACTGTGTTGATTGTGGCTTGGGAATGAGAAATGTAGAATTAAGGCATTGTAAAGGAACAGAGGGGAACAGAGATTTAAACGAATCCAGAAGTGATAGAAGACAATTGTTCATTTCAGAGATACACATATTATATGAATACTTTTGGGGTTTTGTTGATATTTACTAAAGTCTCAAACAAGGAAACAGGATGAAATACGTGAATGATGGTGAGCAATCAAGAAAGACAATGTTACATTATAAGGTTTACTTTTAATTAGTACATGATCTCTCTCATTTTAATCTTTTTCTAATACACATCCAGATTCAAAGCAATGCTCTCTGGTTGGCTCAGAAACTTGCTTAATCAAGTCATCTCTGAGAAATACTTCCATAATTAAACTGACAAAATATTTAATATATTATGCAAGAAGCCTAGACTGTCTCACAAAACTAGCTATTAAATTTATACATCAATGTTCAGAGAATAAGAGTGACAGATATACTCTTGCTGTGCCAAGAGATTGAAGTAGTCATAGACTCACATTTCACTGGAGCTGGCCTGCAGAATTATGTTGTCTATTTAATTAAAATATGTTGCTGCCAAATCATGATTTAACTATCCAGTGCAAACCTATTTTTGAAGTTTTCAAGATCTGTATGAAAAAAAATGTACTGCTTGGGTGTTTGAAGAGTTAACTTTGGAACAGGGTCAGGTACAGGCCAAACTACCAGAAACACGACCAGACATTTAAGGCCCCCAGGCTCTGTGAGGTCACTTTTACTCAATTGTACACCAGGCCACTATCCCAGAGTGAGAGCCTGAATGAGAGTGCTTCGAGTGCCGACTGGCCCGTAAGCTAGCCTTCTCAGCCTTATCTCAGCTCTTTGTCTACAATTTCATTCTGCACCCTAACTCCATAGGCTTCCTTTTTCTGTTCCTTCTGCTTCAAAATCTGATGATACAGCTTCATAGGCTGAGCAGAATCAGCAGGGTTCTAGTGCCAATGTCACTGACCCCTCTGCCTCCCATCCTCTCTCATCATTACATGTGGCTTCATGGCTCAGTGTGTGGAACCATGCACTCCTTCCAGAAATGTCAAATTAGTGAGCCGAATCTAGAGAACATCTGGGGTTAGTGTGCCTCCAGTGACCAGTTGAGCCAAACTGGCTTATGATGGAGAATTTAATAGAAGGGCAAATGGAAGATTCATGGTCCAGAAAGCCACGCCTTTCTAAAAGAACTTGACCCCTAACAGTATGCTTTAGAGAACTGTTACCCAACATCTGAAATGTTTATCCTTTCCTATGTGATAACCAGGGCTGTTTCCAAGGATTCACATTACACATTGTATTTCATTATTCATTCTGAACACTTGCTGTGCATGTTGTGTTTTTGGGAACGCACAGAATTGCTAGAGTCAAACTGAAGCCAAATGGGCAAGAAGTAATTTAGCAAAGATATCTGACGCTTTTTGTGTCTGGGTACTTCTTCTGCCTGGAGCCTCAACCAAGCATCACAGGTTCCCATGAGACCCCCACTGCTCAACTTGCTCAACAAGACATTAACATCTGGACAGTCCCAACTCAAGCTCAAACAACTGCTCAGACTCAAACAATGCTTTGAAAACAATGTCCTTACACATTATGGAACCTCGGGGATGGGCCAATGTTTCAAGATAAAGCATAAAATCCTCACTGGGCCATTTTAATAAGCAGCTGACTGTCTACCACTTTAGTAGTGTGCAGCTTTTAGGAGCAATTTTACTGGGTCCACAGCCAAAGGCAAAACCTCAATGCCAAGAGTACTGGAAATGTCAATGTAAGATCAACACTGATCCATTCTTATAGTTTGGGATAGAGATGATTACAGCTCGAATCAATTAACTAAGAATATTCCTCTATGTTGGGTATTATCAAATATCTATCTGAAGAATTTACCACAAACTTTATGCTTTGAAACAATACTTTTGCTTTTAATCGTGGCCTGTAGAATAGAGCCCAGCATGGCCTTTGCCAGCTAACAATGTGCTGTAGAGCCAAGCTCTTTCCTAGAGGCTCCAGAGGGTAATTCGTTTCTTTTTGCTTTCCCAGTAGATAGAAGCCACACACATCCCCCAGTGTGTGCCTTCTTTATTCCATCTTCAAAGCCAGCTGTGGTTGGTTCTGTCCTCATATCGGGTCACTCTGACATCCTCTGCCTCCCTCTTCCCCTTTCCAGAATGTGCAATTACATTGGGTCCACTCAGAAGATCGCTGCAATATTTTCAAGTTCCAGAAATTCTGACAATTCTTCCAGGGTTGGGGGGGGGCACTCTTTTTCTGCCTACCACAAAGATAATGTTACTCGGTTCATAAAAAGGATCATAATTATTCATGACTTCTTGGCCATGCCCTCACGCGAGCACCTGAAAGAGGTTAGTGAAGTTCATTTATAAATTCGCAAGAAGATACAGATATCTAAAGAACCTCTGTTACTCCAAGCTCTCTGTCTCAGCTGACAGCAGGAGAGAACCAACATTGTTGAGAGGCAGGTGAAAGTGTCTCTAGGAATCAAGGAGGAGGAGGGTGCCAGAGGAAGGGGAGGCGGGGAGACTGCATTTGCTCAAATGTAGGCAGACAACATCTGTATATGTGAATTCAGTTCAAGAGCAAAACTTTCATATTGATTATACAGGAATCCAAAGTGCAGAGAAGATGAAACTAAATGTTGAGAAAGCATTTCTACTACCTGAAGGATACTCTCTTTGTATTCTAAGCTCATTAAAATGGCTATTATTTTGCTGTGTTCATAATTCCCAGAACATTGTAAACTACTGATATCTTCACAGCTCCTGGAAAAAGATAAAAGTCATTGCTTTTAAATAGTTGCAAAAGACTGCTTTAGTCTCAGGAGTCACTCTCCTGAGTATTCCGAGTTAGCTTATAGGAAGGGCTGCATGGTTTGGTACTGATGTAACAAAACATGTATTTGGTCTTTGTCTCCAGTTCCTGGCAGAATTCCTAGAACTCTTAAAATCTTCTAAGGGGAAGGAG